CTAGGTCAGCCACGAATAGCGCAGCACAGGAAGCTTCCGAACCGATCCCATTAAGATCCCAGTTTGGAATTTGTAGTCTCATAGAGGGGAGAGAGTTTACTCCCGCATGATGCTTTACTTTATTGTTTCCTTTTCCTTAACAGTCTTTTTCAGGGAACATCGAGTTCATAAGGCGTGCGGTCAAATATGATCCGAAGTCAGTAGACTCCAGAGATGTTTTCGGTGAGTCCATCCTTTCTACAGTTCATCTTGCGCGTTGTTTTCATGACAAAGAAAGCACTAGGCGCCCAGAGGAGAGATTAGACGACGTGCGGCTAAGAAAGATGAAACAGCAGTGCAGTAACCAGTCACTTTCACTCCAGAGGGGAATGATAGGCTGCAGTTAGGGGCAGCATATAGTCCATATCAGCGGGTTCAAAAGAGGCGTTACAGCGACGGGAGCGCATTTCTCTTGTACATAGGATCTCGTTCGCCGCCCTCACCGCGTTCGCAGCTACACCTCTTCTTGCCCTCACAAGTGAAGTGAAAGCTCTTTGGCCCTCGCACTTTTGATCCACGTAATGCGGACCAGTCCCTATACTCATTTTACCTAAACATATATGTGTCCTTAACCCAAGCAACGCATTCGAGCGCAAGAATAGACACGGAAAAATCTTAGTTTTTTTTCAACGAGCCAACTAATTTCAACCCCATACCATGCAAGGTGGTTTTCTGGATGTGCTCGAATATTTGATTGAAACGGCCGGAGCAGAAATTGGATGCATTAGTATGAAAGGTGATTTTACATCCACAGTAGTATGCCAATTTTGTTATGCTCGGTCGTGATATCGCTCCTGGTCCGAATCTTAGGGAGAGCAGGGATATCTGCTGTGCACTTATAGGCTCTGGAGAGGGAATGTCCTACGGTCTTCGCTGTGAGGGTAACAACCTTCGTGTATCTGCGGACAACAGATGGCACTGATTTGGATTGGTGAGAAGTGCCCTGACGTTTTGTTGTGCTGTCTGCGTTCTCTAATGTCCACGCTGCGTACGGGCTCCTCTGCATGAAGCGGCAATAGTCTACCGAAACCGCGCCCTCAACCGAGGCACACCACATCAAAGGCCAAAATATGAAATGCACTTGCTATCGTCGCATTTCGGCGAGCAGTGTCGACTGAGCCCGCAGGGCTGCATTTTCTACCAATAGTGGCCGCGGTCGGATAGAAATTAACCAATAGCCGGTCCGCTTATGGTTAGATCATACTACCCTCCACTCTTCGTTTTCGGTTGCATGATAATGTCCTTGTCCAATACAGACTTGCTTGGAATTTTAGTAATTCAAGTTGACCGCTTCATATCTGATTATCCCTTTTTATGTCCTAGCTTTCGTGGAGACTTATTTCTCAATGCTTACGGAATTTGATGAAATTTACCATGCAATTGGTTTAAAAAGCCGTTGAAGTGGGTCTTTGCGTAATGTTCCAAGGGGCGAAATTGACGCCTAGCGCGACGAAGGACTCTTTGCGAGAACAATGTTAGCCAAACACGAGCGATGTAGCAAAAGATCTCAAACATCAGGATTTTTTGGGGTGGGTGGACCGGCTATAGATCATCATCCAAATCTCACGGTCAGAAAATTTTGGGGGTCATGACCAACGGTAGTTCATGATCCTTTCTCTATTTAAATTTTATTTGAGAATTTTTTTGCCACGAATCTGAGTCCTTGCCTGTTTGTCGGCAGGGTATGGAAGGAGTAAATAAAAAAGTTGAAAAAAACTTTTTCAGGTCAGTCACTCATTCATATAGCGTCACTATGTGGTGATGAGAAAATTATTCGGTGGATTCTGAATCGCACGGGGACTCACGTCACTCTGTGGACAACTATGGACAATTCTAATGCTCTGCACTGTGCTGCATGTAAGAAACTCACTATTAAATATTATTATTAATATTATTATTATATTATCAATTGCTCAATATTAAAAACGAGACATTTTCCGCTAAGCGTGAGCATCGCGGGTACTGTACTGGGGGGGGGGTGCAGGCACAAAACGTACATGTGAATACCGAACAGCCTTGTCAACACTATGTGAGCGTTGTTATAACCTGCTAAGCGTCCTGTTAACTCCTGTAAAACTCGTCAGAATGACTGCTTGTGATTCGGAAAAAAGTGGTGAAATGGGCGTTCCAGTGGCGTAGTACTACTTTGTCAAGTTTGACAGGTGTTTACAGGGTACTTGACAGGAGTTTAGAGGACCTGCAGTGTGAGACACGGTAATGAAAAGACAAGAAAAAAATGAAGACATACACTGGAAATTCCTACAGGCGCGGCCCACCCCCGGCAGGGTGCAGCATCGGTGTGTGGAAACACTTAGGAGGTCGCACTTTTCGGCTGGAGGGAGAGGTGATCGCATTTGATCGTTGGGAGAGGGGGTTCGTGTGTGCCTTTGACAGAAATTTGCCGCGTTGGGAAAAAAATTTTGACTTTTCGAGTGATTTTCCCTGTTTCATGTGTGCTATATACCCCTCTCCCCCGCTCGAGGAAGAGATTTTTCCCTGTTCTGATGTGTGCTGTATACCCTCTCTCCCGCTCCGAGGAAAATTCTTTGGCTGAGAAGCTGGAAATCACGGGAACATTGGGAGCGTAGATGTTAGGTGTTTGGGGGAGCCGGTCGCTAGACAAGATCCTGATTTTGGGAGCGAAGGTCGTGCCTGACAATCTCCTCCCTCGCGGGGGAGCGCTCGTACCTACACCACCATTTACACATTCAGGATGCTGCGCCCTCTACCCGGTTATCACTGCCCTGCAGCCTCTCCGTCGTTCACATGTATTTATAATTCGGTGAAATAGGCATGTTTTGTAAAGGCAAAGACATTCCACGATTGTCGAATGGCGGGCAGAGTGAGAAATCGGTCCACTATGGATTCCGCTTTGTTCTAATCATAAATTAATGGAAAAAATGAGAGTCGGTATCGTGTCACTAAGGGCAGCTTTCGCTTTTTACTTTTAACTTTTCATATCTTCTAAGCGCGACTAACGCCGCCTTCTCACATGGGTTTTGGAACATATGGTAAAGCCGTGTGTGAGATTGTGAGAGGGAGTGCTTGCTACCTGAACGGTGACATTAGGGTGTGGTACCGCCCTTTGACCCATCCCTTTGACCCAAAGCTGGAATGAGCTTTTTTGCCCTCCGAAAAACCTCAACTAGCCCTCCTACAAGCTGCATGCGCTATGCTGCTATAGGCTTCAATAGTCGTACAGCTTTTGAAGTCCGAAGAAACAGGGACATCGTGGCCAATTCACGTCCTCATTCAGACTGTGGCAGCGTGCCTGTGTTACGTGCCCTCTTGGAGTCGTGGTCTCGTAAAAGAAGAAGGATCGTCTTGGCGCTGAAAGATAGTCGTGGAAATACACCTCTCCATCTGGCTACAATTAACGAACACACTGAGGCTGTTCTTTTCCTGGTAGGCACTTTTCGCATTTTGCGCTGATTTTTACTCCATAATTTATACTTGTGACTGTGTTCTTTATGCGTCTCTGGTTCACTACATGTTGCATTGTAGATCTGGGGTACAGTCCATATCTGAAAACAGGAAGGGGCGTGGCTCATACACTGGCGGGCGTCCAGATGAGCGAAAGTGAGAGGAACACATGTACATACAAGAGGAGAATAGGCACGAGAACTTTTCGGGAACTACCAGTTTCCAGTGTGCCAACCCCACCTCTCCTGCCCGACCGCAGTATTTCCCCAAAAAATTGCGGTCGAACAGGATGGAGACGGGTGCTTAGAGGTAGATGGCCATCCAATTCTAGGATCACAAGAGGGTCTAAGGGGAGTACTACTCAGCGAAACCACACGAAAAGCGTTAAAAAAGCAACATTTTTGAAAATTCATCCCAAAGGCAGGTACGACCCCTACCGTTTGAATACCACTCCCTCTCCAGCGACGAAAAATTACTCATATGCGGGATTATCTGAGGGTGCTGCACCCTGTAGGGCGGCATCAGGTGTGCCCTGTGCCCTTCCTATATGAGCGCCCGCGTTGTTACCTTACAAGAAGTGGGGGCCACATTCCCGCCGCTGTGTGACATTCAGCTGAACACGAACTAATGTCCTCCCATTCGAGAAACACATCAACTCTAATTTTACACAAGCCGTGTCCATTACCAGTAAGGGGCACAATAGAACAATTTGACTTCGCCACCCCACTAATCAACGTGGAATGTGTCTTCGAAATCTTCATTTTCAGCTCGACTCAGATGCCGATGTTCGAAGCAATTAATGCTTGTGGCTATAGCGCTCAAGCAATCGCCTTAATCAGAGGGAATCGCGAGTTAGCAGGTCTCATTGCTGGATATGCCGGTACCGTCCAGTTGTTCTTGATTTTTCATTCTGCTCTGACACATCGTTCAGGCAAGAACAAGACCCTGCCAATGAGACCCTCCCGTTCGATTGATTCCCAGCTAGTGGCTACTTCAGTCAGTAGTCGATGCCGTTCAGTCCCACACACACCATCACTAAACCGAGCTTTATCGCCGCGATCCAGCTCTCGTCGTTCTTCCGTAGCGGACACCTATATCTCGTCAGTTTACTTTCCTTATAATTATGATTAGTTCCAGCCCAATATTACATTTACATGGTCTTTTTCTAATATATATTTTCTTCCTTTATCCTTTCGCCGATCATGCTATAGCCTTTGTTCGCCTGCGGATGATGGGACGTGGCCAGTGAGTTGCTGGGATCTGCGCGCCGCCTTTGCTGCTTCTCAGTAACGGTGTTGGAGCGACAACAGACTGATGCGAAAACAAACTGGCGCGCCGCCCGCCAAACCATCTCGCCTGACTCGTCAAATCCGTAACGAACGAGTTTGTACTCAAAAACTGTAAATCTCCACCAAAAATTCTGCTAGTAAGGTCTTCGAACCGAATTCAGCCATGCTCCTGCAGGGATTTGCGAGCGGTAATGTATAGGTTTTGGATAATCTCCTTACAATTAGAGTAGAGAAACCTGTGAGATGCGCCACCACACGAATACTTCTTGCCCTGCCACGTCTTCCGATTCGAAAGGGTAGCGGCAGATAGTTGGCGCCAGAGTCTGTACCGGAATGTAATATTTTGTTCCACGATGGTGGTGAGTATGGGTGGAACTCGTCAAGGTGCGTGGTGGGTGTGGGGGCGGGGCAAAGGGCATCCGCATCAAACAATGAGGGGTCGGGCCTTTAACCCAGCCTTCGCGATTCACGGATCGCACTGGATTAGGACCGCGCTGATGAACAACCACACGCGCAATCATAGCCAAATGCGCCATTTGTCGGCGCCCTGCACTTCCTCATCTACGTTATGGCACAATTTGGCTTTTTTGGTTAAGCGGCATTTTGCTTGAGTGCCATCGGTCATAGCGGCCCTTCTATGGAGATTTTAAATTCCTTGCGCAGGTGTTAAAACAGCAGGAACATCCCTTATACTTGACAATATGTAGTTCACAGACCTCAACAAGGTGAAACGTGGAATACAACGAGAACTAGAAAAAGAAACTAGTAATAGTGCAAAATGCCCCCCTCCCTCTAGCCTGACAGCGGAAAGGTGGGTTGTATTGACCTAACATCTTTGACAAAGCGGGAGAAACGTTTTGACTATGATGATATTACTAAAAGTGTAGCTGGATAGAACATAAGGGGAGGGGGGGGGCCTGGTGCGGTGCGGTCGGCGGGGAAAAACGATTGTACGGTTAGTCAACGACTTAGAAGAATTCCAGCCAACAACAGAACCACTCTCTGAGAAGGAGGCCCAGGGCTCGCTGTGGCGAAAAGTCAGCTCGAGGACTGAAGGCGAAAATATGGCCGAGTATGATGGAAGGCTAGCCGAAATGCAAGAACGACATTCATCTGCAGTGTTCACTTTGCTTACTAGGCTCCAGCACCAGTGTTTATAAAAAGACGAAACAAGTTTGGAACCATATTGTGGAGTGTTGTTATGAAGCAGGCTGAGCGTGTGGTAGTGTGATACCAAAATCATGGCCGAGATCCAGCCTACGCAGCGATGCCAAAAAGAACGAAGAAATGTTGACGCAAAAATTCTAAAAAATTCTATGGCTGGCGGAGGAAGCTCCGTTTATCCTAGGTATTGGCGATATGCTTATCAACAAAGAACAGACTGTACAATTAGTGCCGGATTCGAGGACGATGCTGTGCGCGCAGTAATACCCAGGCGCCCTCCGTTAAAATCAGCGACATATCCTAACCTTGCCAAAAGGCGTCACTTGTGGCCTTCATCTTTTGTGATACCTCTGACTGCCTCGTTCGCCCGAGATTCGCTTATCAACACATGTGCCAGCCTTGCGCGGCTACGAGCACCCGGGCATCACTACTCCTCACCACCATTTCCGAAAGCCTTCAGCCTAAAAACAGTAGCACGCCTACTGCAGCGGCGGGATCTGGGCGTTCGTCTCGTTCTTTTGGTGAAGAGGCCCTTGAATCGTCAGGACAGTGTGCGCTTTTTCTTTAAGAGATGACGCACCATACGACCAACGTCAGTGGGTCTCCGGAAGGACCTATTTGACGGGATGCAAAGGGTTTCATGGCCCGTTTGAGCTTTGCTGCTGCATTACGGAGGGAGTACAAGGAAAGCTATGGAAGTCAGTGTTGCTTAGCTGAAAGCACGTCTGCGCCGTTGTGGAAAATTTTCTATTTCGAGATGTGTACCCTCATTGGAAACTTTCTTCCGCTGGCTTGCCCACCCCTTTTGCCCACCCCCCTCCTATCTGCCATGTCTCAAGCTGAAGATCCCTCGTGAAGACTCCTGTGTTGCGAAAGTTTTTGCGGAAGGCACTAGAGAATTCCTGATTTGACTTACCTCGCAACAGCTACAAAGCTTTGTGACCCCACGCCTGTAATTCTCTTCTTCTCGACTGGGAAGTGCAGGCCAGGTCATTTAGATTAGTCCGTGGGAGGAACCTAAACTGATTTACACGCTGCTACCCTATCGGAAGTCACACATCGAAAAAGTGTGCAGCTGGCGTAAAAAGCGCAAAAAAATTGCTCAGGATAGGAGGAGACGGAGTTTTTCTTGCCTTGACAGAGCGCTGGATAGACGCCACTATCCAGGCCTGGACTAACAATAAGTATTAGTCACCATCACAGCGCTACTGACAGCTTTTCCAGAGTGAAAACGCGCTCCATTAACTTTTAAAGGGTCATGGGCTTATTTGGGGTATTTGCAGGTTCTTGACGATGAAACCTGGACAGGAATGGGACTGTCGGCCGTTGAACAAATCGATAAAGTTCTTGATGAAATCGAACTTCTCAGCAGATGACAATGACTGGAAGTGGCTTTAGTATTGCTTGACAGCATTACCTGTACATAGATGTAACTTCAATAAATTTTTCTTGATTGTTGGAAGGTGAGCTGGAATGCCATAGGACTGAGACTCACGCACGCTAATTCTTGGACTAATTTACGCTCACGAAAGTGGCGTGCATTGACCTAGGGAATTACTTTCTTCATCAGAATATTGAGGACTCATTCACGTAGCTTCTTTGTTGTGCTGATCGGCAGGGGAGGGGCACTTTACACATTCACTACTTCTTTTCAGAGAGAATGGGTCTTGGAAAACGTGCAGTGAAGGCCAGGACTACATCCTGTCTGCTAGCCAAACTCTCGCTCCACGGGAGGAATATCCTCTTGAACTTCCTGGGAGAAGGAGAGCTTTGTGAACTGCCACAGCTAAAGTTTTTTACCAGAGTTGCAGGATAACCTATGGAGGGTGACCAGACCAAAATTTCGTTGAAGTGACACTCAGCACGATTTTCGATCTTTATTATCTTGCCCTGATAATAATAACAACAAGGTATAATAATAGATTACAAGTATTTTTCAATAAAAGCAATGACCCGTAAAAAAAGCAGACACATTTCGAAACAATCAAAGCATCGGTTCGCACGATTGTCGTCAGATGACGGAGAGTGTGTGAGCGCGTGAAGTACTAGAATCGCTGGGTCGATGCTGAAACGGGAAGCATCCTCAGTACTAAAAACGGTCTGTAGTGTCATTGCAGAGGAATCGGTACCGTTCAGACTTCGCGATGACGCGCGTCGGCGAATCGCAACGGTGCCCAGTGCTATAGGAGGAACGTGGTCATCAGTGGCGATCGATCAGCGCCAGCTGCTTCTGCTCTCGCTTACTGCTTGGAGGATGTAAGAGCGGTATGGCGTGCTAGGTCAGGCAGTCTGATACCCTCCTACTCTCCCATACTCTCTCAGAGCAGAAGCGGCCGCCGCTGATCGATACTCGCTTCGCTGGGTTCGCTTCTTTAGTACTGGAGCGCTGTTGCAAAGGTGGCGCGTCGACGCGCGTCATCACGAAGTCTGGACGCTGCTTTAACGTACATAAAAAAGAAGGCGGGGCAACTCACAGTTTTTGATTGGCCCGGGAATGTATTGTGAATTAGCTCGCTTGTAAGTGGAAGACGAACAAATGCGGAAAACGGTCCGGCGAAATTGTCGGTTGAACCAGCAATAGATCAAGATATTAGAGGCACTGGAACGATTTTTCTCAAAGATAATTAATCAAGAATTATTTCCAACGAAGTGACAAGTGGACAAGTAGTTGGCGCGGATTTTAGCAACGATAGAACGCACCTGTTCAGGCATCTCGCCTAGGCTATGGGTTATGCTATATGGGCGTACAAGACTGGCAAAAACAAAGCACGCCAACCCTCCTCCGACAACAAACCTAGAGCGAAAGACCAAAAAATGAATTAACTTGAATTACCTGTTCACACAAACTAGTAGTGTAGAGAGCGGTATACGGTGCCGATACATTTCTCGGTATTGCGGTGCGTAGGACTCGATAATATTGTTGATAGCGGGTGGAATGTTGCATAACACAAAGATGCCCGTCATTACTATCGTCATCACGGTCATTCTGGAAAGATTATCCGCATTTGCAGCGAAATTGACCGGATTAATAAAAAACTCTTCTGAGGGTGATACGATTCGGGCTATACATCACAAGAATGCAGAACTGTAGGCAAAACTCCGGTCCCAGACGGGACTTTCAGGACATAAAAGCTAACCAGGGAAGTCCGCCAACTTACCATGGAACTTTGAATGGAGACCTGGGTAGATCGATAGAGTCTATAAGGTTATTTACAAATATAGATAGCAAAACTGCAACCTGCATTTCACAAAACTTATGAGCAGGTAAAGTTTGTAATGGTGCAGTAGGGTGGAGGGAAGCATAAGGCAGCGGTCAGACTTCGCGACGGCAGCGCCTCGGTCGCGCTGCGCATGCTTTCAACTGCATCGATCGCGTCGAACGCGCGACCGAAGCGCTGCCGTCGCGAAGTCT